AATTGTGCAATTCCATTATGTAGGATTGATGCAAAAGATTTTGGTATTTTATGACAAATTCTTTTTGTTTGTATAAATTCATAGCATTATTATTCAGTTAACAATTTGTTTTCCATAACATACACCACTTTTCAACTAAATTGTACCAGAAAGAAATATTTAAAGAATATATTAAATTGTATCAGAAAGGAATGAGTCCCCTTTTGATTTGATTATTATTTGACAAATTTTTTAAATTCAAAATAGAAGTTTTCAAAATTGTCATATATATATATATATATATATATATATATATATATATATATTTATTAAAAAGAAGAGAAACCACAAATGTTTTTGGTTGTAATGTGGATTTTTTGAAAAATATATATTATGCTTTATTTTCTATAATTTTGCAACATGTGTGTTGGATTTCACAAACTTCTTCGGGCAAAAGGTACATATTTCCACATCTTATTAAAATTAATTTTCCTTATGTTTTTCAATGTTAAACATTCTCTTTTTTGTGTGGTAGTGACACAAATGTCTTTCTTGAAATGGCAGTGAGAAAGTTCTTCTGCTTGAAGGGTAATAAAACAATTAAGATTGGTCCAAGAAATTGTGGGGAAAGATATCTGGATTCTTATCTTTTAATGACCCCTGTGTGTACTTAGATCTATTTTCATTTTTGCCTGAAGAAGCTCGTGAGACCTGAAACGCGTGTTGCAAAATTATGGAAAATAAGGCATAATATATATTTTTTTAAAAATCCATATTACAACCAAAAACGTTTGGAACAACTATAACCTCTTCCCTTTATATATATATGCATGTGCATATATATATATATATATATATATATATATATAAAGAGATAAACCGTAAACATTTTTTATTATAATGTGGATGTGTTTTAGTATATATATTATATTTTATTCTTCATATTTCTGCTACACGCATTTCCAGTCTTGTGACCTACTTCAGGCAAATAAAAGGAAAAAATTTTTAAAATATACATTTTTCTCTTGTTGGAATAACTATAACCATATATATATATATATATATATATATATATATATATATATATATTCTCTTAAATTCTTGGATCAACTTCTTAATGTTGTTGATATTACATTCATTAAGGAAGGCGGTATAATTTTTTTCATTTCTTTTATTTTCCCATGAGTTCTGTTCTGGGACCAACATTTAGTAACTTCTACATGGCTAACCTTGAAAATAAGATATTTGATACCACTAAAGAATACCATAGATATGTATATGATAGTCTCATAGTAGTTAAAAATATAAGATGAAATACATGGATTGCAAAAATCATCCAAAAAACTGTTCTTAAATTCACATATGAATGTAACAATAAAATTTGTTTTCTTGAAATAGTGATAGACATCAATAATAATACATTTACTACCACCCCATAAAAAATTAACCAGCATAAACATGTGCTCTCTCAACTATAAAAGTGAATGTCCTAACTATTACAAAACAGCTATTATACAAAATTTAATAAACCATGCAAAAGTTAACTCTTCCATGAAAAACATTTCTACACTGTATTAAAAAGGATTAAACAAACTCATTAATAATGACTTCCTTAATTACATTGTTGATGGACAAATAAGGCAAGCTATTAGAAATATTAACATAAATAAAAAAGAATACAACACTTCCTCAAATAACCCTAAATATATCAACCTAATATACCATAATCAAATGCATTCTAACAAGATGAAAAAAATCCTAAAAAAACCTCATAAGTACTAATATATCCCAGTAAAAAAATAAAACTAATTATTATTATACTAAATTTATTACAACCAGCTTAACCTACCACAATACCTCTTCTCTGTTAACTAATGTTTTGTAAAAGACCAACATTGTATATCAATTTAAATTTCCTTTGGGAGATTGTATCTCTGACAAAAATGTAAATGTATATGTTGGTTTCATGACAACATTATCAAGGAGACTTACATTACATATGTCAGATTTAATTTCTGTTGCACAACATCTAAAAGAACATTCCTGTTCCCATTCATGATTTAGAGAAATATTAATTGACAATACAAGTATACTTCACCATAAAAATAAAAAGAAAACCTTCAAATTCTTGAGGCCTTCTGTATAAGAAAAATACAACCAGCACTAAATAAGGTTAATTATGAGTAGAGCAACAATGTTTTAAAACACTTAAATTGTAATTTTAAAAGAAGAATTACAATTATATAAATTAAATTTACCTTCCTTAGATAAAATATAATAGCTTTAACAGTTCATTTTTAAATTAATTATAACAGAATGCATTCATACATGTTTATAATTATAACAGCACATTTCATGCACATTTAGAAAAAAAAATTCACAAGTATCAATGATATTAATTTTTTTGTCTTAGCAATAATCTTGGATGAGATTGAAAGTACTTGGAAAAATAAAAGAAATAAATAAAATTGGTGCCTTTCTTAATGAATTTAATGCCAACATTAAGTTGGTTTGAGAATTT